GCCTACCTCATCTTAAAAAAAGATCCTTTCCTAACATCTTGGCAGACATCATGAACATGCACGCAGGTTAAGGAAAAAACCTTCTAAATTTTAATCTTGCATGTTTTCTGAACAACAAGTGGACTGAACACTTCTACCTTGAGGAGGTCAGAGTGTAAACCAAATTTCTACCCTGCTGCTAAACTGTTTAGGATACTAATGGGCTTCTCTATTGGCTTAAGGATACTTTCTGAAGTCTGATGCAGGAACAAGTATTTATTCACCTTTAATAACTTTACTCAAAAGGGTTGGAGACCACTAATTTTGAAGTAGAAGATCACCTTTGGCATTTAAAAGCAACCCAAGATGTACTGTGTGCTACTGCTGCCATCCCTTGGCCTGCTGCCCTGCAGGTAAGTCTATGGAGCAGAGGGGTGGGGGAAAAAAAAACAGATTGAGGCAGAGGGAGAAAAAATATTTGGGGGCATACCTCCCTAGCAGGCAAGTCCCACCCAGTTGGGGCCCCACTCAACTTAACCCTGCTCCTGCGACACTGTACCTCACCACAGTGGCCTCAATCTAGTCCCCACCCCTGCCCTCCCCCACAGACTGACCTGCTGGGCTGGGGTGCACGCATGCATTCATGGGCACTCAGCCCCCAACCCCAGCCTCAGATTGACCCCAAGAGGCTCCGAGATCTACTGGTGGATTGAGATCCACTCGTTGGTGACCACTGCTCTAAGTTTTAGAGTACCTAGGTAGAAAGTGGGTTCTTACCACTCCAGGAGGAAGTTACTATTTCCAGATTAAAAAGACAGCTTACCACTTTCTTCAAGTTCTATTGGCTCTGCTTCTGAAGCCATCTCTGTAGCTGAAGCTGCCAGCCTACTTCGTTTTTGTGTTTGCCTAGAACCAGTTTCTCCTCCACGACGTTTTTGCTGAGTCTAAAATAAAAAGACATGCCAAAAATTGTTTTAAAGTTAATATTAATGTAATCTTGTTTTTTTGTTTATAAACCGAAACCTAAAAGTATTCAACTACGGTCTGAAGTATATAGTTTTGGGTTGTTCCAACACCTGAACTAGGAATAACAGAGGAAAGGCATCAACACTAAATTTCTCCCCATTTGGGCCAAGCAGGAAAGGTGTATTATCATTTGCAAACAAGAGGCCTAGATCATAATGCTCAGTCATTCTGGGATTCCACTGACCACTTCAATCAGTCTGGCCTAAAACTTGCCCTATAATCCAAGGTGCTTTTGGATTAATGCCATCAATATCTAGAGGCATTAGAATATTTAAGCATGATTACAGCAATTTTCAATTTGCTTTTGTGCAATCTAGTGTACACAGATACTGTAATAAAGCATGTACTGCTTATAGAAAAAGCACAAATTGCTACAAATCTAAAAATTCCAGAGCATTTGAGAACTGGAATAATGGACTGATTTCATTAAACAAAAATACTTACTGTGCTCATGGTATTTCTTGGATATAAACTACAGAAAAAGTAAAAGGTACAAATATCATAAAATAAACTGCAAGGAAGCTACAATTTTCAAATTTCTATATTTAGGTAGCATAGAGTTAAAAGTCCAGATTTCTTTGCATCTTAGAATGGCGCTCTTCCAAACCTATAAAGAAAAGAAGAGAGACGATTACTTAGCTGAAGTTCTTGTTCTCCTAGGTATAACCACCACTACAGATTCCCATTCCTGAATTACTGGGCAGGCGGGTCTTTGTTTTTGCCCCGATCCAAGCAGAATCTCCCAGGGTTTAAGATTTTAGCCTCTGAGATAGGTATGCCTGAAGCATTTACCATGCTGCTCTACTGCTAACAACTACTCAGAATCAGTCAAAAATACCTGGAAGCCACAATTAGCTTTCCTTTAAAGCAAAAGATGGTAATTCTCACATGTGCAAAAAAGTTACAGAATCCTCAAACTGAAGGAAGGGGTAGGGAATATTAAGTGTAAGTGGCCATCTTCAGAAAATAAAAATTACCCATGAGTAATTCTCTTTTCTATAGGAGCTATTCATTTCCATATTCCAACTTTTGGAAGTTAAACAGCTTGAGGAAGGGGCTACCAGGTTGGGAAGATGGGTGTAAAATAAATGGAATATAGAAGCAGCAGCGTAGAGAATGAAAAGAAAGATTCTCCCCTGTAATATAAAACAGCAGAACTCCCTTTTTGCAAGAAAGATATCTATTGGTATCATATCAATGGAAGCAATACATCTTTAAAAACCAATTCCACAGTAAGCAGTCCTACTGAACTTTAAGTGGTAGAAAAAGAGACAGCCCTAACAGACACTGCTAGACAATTTGGGGCATTCATCCCTATGAGAATAAATTCTGTTACAAAAATCTGAAGCAATCAGAATTCAGATGTAGCAAAATGATTTTAAGAAAAAAAGAACCCACATGACTGCTTTGGCTGTCTTTTACACCGAGAGATCTGAATGTGTATGTCAAAATGTGTTTCATCTCAAAATGGCTTTGACAGGACCTTGCAGTTCAGCAGGCTTGCCAAGCTTCAAAAGTAAGGGATGCAATCATCAAGTCATAAACATTACATGTAAAAATAAAAGAATCCATTGCACTGGGTATGAGAAGCAGCAAATCACTAGGCTGATACCAGTCTATATCACATGGAGTTTAGGGACCTTGAGTTTGATCTATCCTTTAAAGTCATATTTACCCTGAAGACTGTACACTGGAAAAGGATATTGTCTATCCTTACGGTAGGTGTTTGAATTGTGGTCAGCAAGGATCCTACTGGAAGAATCTAGTAAGCAAGATCTTCTTCAGGATAGTGAGAATTAAGGGAGCCAGCTGCAAGCAGGGACAGGAACACAGCTCTTCTAAATCTAGCATTGGATCTTGCTCCAAAGTCCACTGCAACATACTTTACAAACACCCTCATACTGAAATATTTTGGAAACAGACCCTGATAATGTCTGATCTTCAAGAGAATGAGCCTTGACGGAAAATTCAGAACGATGTTCATTTACCTACTGATAATTAAACACAATGAATGATGCAATCTACTTAACCAGTCTTTGTGGCCTTAAAAAACAGTAATTTATTTGACATATTTCTGTTAAGAACAATCTGTCAATATTATGTCACTAGCACTAAAATAGTTAAGATAGGCCTACGTTATTTAGATTTCTTCTATTTGTGGGTGAAGTGTAACTTAGGGAAGAACACAGGTAAATTAATCAACTGGTTTACATGAAACTCAGATATGACTTTGTGGTGCAATTAAATGAGGCCTCAAAACCACTAAGTCCTTATAGAATGAAGTATACAGGGGTTCTGCTGCTCAACTGGTCTCCTGGCTGAGGTGATGGCCACCAGGAAGACTGCCTCAAGAGTGAGATGATAAATGGAGCAATCCACGTGAAAGGTGATGCGATAAGCTTAGGAAGATACTGTTGAGGTACTATGCCAAGCAGGTTCTGTGATCAGTGGTTAAATACACTTCAGACCCATGAGAAATTGATACCAAAAGGGGAGGAAATTAAAAACAGGTGCATCAGAGGTCAATATGCCAATACTGCTACTAAACAGACCTTTCCCAACTGGCTCAATTGGGGAGAAGCCTTATTTTGATGCCTTTCCACTGTTATTACCAGAGGAAAAGAGTAAAACAGACCAAAAGATACAATCAGCCTTAAAGATTCAGGATAGAAGAACAACGAGGCCAATCCATACCATGTTAAGCAGTTCTATGGACCTCATCATAATACTGAAGTACCTTGCCGTATTTAAGATATTTGTCCTTTAATAGAAGCACTGTAAGCTGGAAAACACTGGTGCTGAGGTAGTATTAAGATGCTTCCTTTCCTTACCCACAAAAGCACCGAGATAGACCGGCGCGGGGGGGGTGGGGAGTGCTC